ATCAGGGGCCCTGGGGGTTCTTTTCTTTGACAGCTTTTGTTTTTGCGATGTCTGACTTTGGTATCAATATTTGTGGCCAGGAAAAAGGAATGAAAACCTGGGGCCTGTGGCTTGAGGTCAGGGGAATGACAAAAAGGATATGTTTCCTTATATTTTTAAGGATTTATTTTTATTGCAACTGCAGAGAGAGGAGAGACACACAGAGATATCGTTTATCCACTGGTTCACTCTCCAAATGACTATAATGGCCATAGCTGAGCCAATCCGAAGCCAGTAGCTTCCCAGGCACTTGCGCCACCCTCCACTGCTTTCCCAAGCCATAAGCAGGGAATTGGATCAGATGTGGAGGAGTCCGGACTGGAACTGGCATCCATATGGGATATAGGTGCCGCAAGCAGAGGCCTAGCCTCCTATACCAGGGCAGTGCCCCTGCGTTTCTTTAACTTATGAGGAGCCCACAACTTCTTAAGAGCAGCAGCTCCACAGAGAGCTAGTGTTCTTGGTGAACTTCCTGTTTTGCAGGATCGCTGTGTTTTGTGCCTTCCACAGGTAGGAGCTTGGAGGGAAGCAGCTGTCATCCTCTGCAGAGCTGGGACATGAACTCCAAGGTCTTAAAAAAAATTTTTTTTTTTTTAATTTATAAGTCAGCACTAGAGAGAGAGTTCTTCCATCCACTGTTTTGCTCCCCAGACAGCCACAATGGCCAGGACAAGGCCAGGCTGAAATCAGCAGCTTCTTCTGGGCCCCTATGTGGGTAACTGTGACCCAAGAACTTGGGCCATTTTCTGTTGCGTTCCCAGCTGCATTAGCAAGCAACTGAGTTGGAGTGGATCAGCTGGGACTCAAAGCCATGTCTCCATAGGTTGGTGTGCATAGAGGACACAGGTATCAGGTGACAGCTCTACACACTACACCACAACACTGGCCCGGAATGCCAAGCTCTCAACCATCAGTGTGTGTGAGACTGTTCCCTTTAGCTGGTTTACCCTCCGATGCCTGCAATGGCTGACACTGGGCCAGGAGCTCAGGAATGTGGGTTGTAGGAACCCAATTACTTGAGCCAGCAGCACTGCCACCCAGGGTCTGCACTGGCAGGAAGCCAGAGTTGGGAGTCGGGAATTGAACCCAGGCCCTTTGAGGTGGGACACTCTGGTCTTAACCCTAGGCTGACCGCCTGCTGCACATGCCTCACACCCACAGTGATCTCACACAGCCACTGGGCTCCATGTTTCTCAGTCGCAGGTTTTTACAGACAGCTTTGAAACCTGGGTCTTGGACTCGGTGACACCTTAGATTCAACAAAACACAGGAGGAGAAATGCAAATTAAAACCGCCTATCAGATTGGCAAAGCGGGGAACATTTGATAACACACTGTGTTGGCAGGAGTTTGGGGAAAGGGTAACTCTCAAGTTGTGACAGTTTAGAGGAACAGCCTCATTGGAAGACAATCTGGGACGAGCTGTTAACATTTCACCCACACCCTCTGACCCCAGGAACTGAGGAGTGAAGACCCGTCTCTTGCTTTTTAACCCTTCGTAACACTAGAGACTGCAGATTACCTCAGCCTCCCCAGAAAATGATGGAGCCATGCTGAGGCTGTAGGCGCTGCAGCTGTGAAAGGATTAAGTCAGAGCTCGATGATGATGTCATTAACAGAATGTGCCAAAAGAAAACAGGAAAGAAGCAGAGGCATAAACCTCACTTCCTGTGTGAATAAAGGGAGGAAGCAGGGGGCTTTGCAAGCCTACCATCCTTTATCTGAGCACTAAGGCTCTGATCCTGGCTCTCGGCTTTCCATCCAGCACGCTGCTAATGTGCCTGGGGAAGCAGCAGCAGAGGATGGCCCAAGTGCTTGGACTCCTGGCAGCCGTGTGGGAGACCTGGTAGAAGCTCCTCCTGCCTTTGGCCTAGTCCTAGCTGCTGTGGGCGTTTGGGGAGTGAATTAGCAGATGGAAGACCTCTTCTGTCTAGCTCTCGCTCCCTCTGTAACTCGCCCGTCAAATACCTAAGGCAGGGAGACAGCCAAACCTCCACATTGTGCAAAGGATTTCTAAGAGTCCCCACAGAAGGGAATGAAGGGCTTGGGAGAATATGGGTAGGGGGTACCTTTACTCTCCAGTCCAGAGTCCCATGGCCTTTTTTCTGTAAAAGGCCAGAAAGTTAACATTTTAGATTTTGCAGGCTGTTCAGTATCTACACTGGATTCTGCGGCAGCCAGGGTCAATACGTAAATGATAAGCATGGCCGTGTGCCAATTAGGCTTAATTGCCCACACTCAAGTTTGAATTTCCTGTGTTGTGAAATACTGTCTTCTGTCTCCCTTTCCAGTCATTTAAAACATTGTTGGTGGGCAATAGGAAAGCAGCTGGACAGGGTATGGCTCTTTAGCTGTGTCCAACACGTTTATACTGGTTCTTATTCTTTACTCTGTATGTAACATGAAAAGTTCCTGGAGTGGGGTGGGGGGGCTAGCATTGTGACTCAGTGGTTTAAGCTGCTGCTTGTGATGCCAGAATCTTATATTGGAGTACCTGCTACCTGCTAATGTACTCAGAAGAGCAGAGGTGATGGTGCCCCAAGTGCTCAGGCCCCTGCCACCCGTGTAGGAGATCTAGCTGAAGTTCCTGTTCTTGGCTTTGGCCTGGCCCAGTCCCACAGGCTGGGGCCATCTAGCGAGTGAACTGGTGGATGGAAGATCGCTCTCTGCTTGGCTCTCTGTGTTGTTCTGTGTTTTCAAATAAATCAATACTGCTAAAGAAAATAAAATTAACTGGAAATTGTTCAATTTATAGAAAAGTTATCAAGAAGGGAGTTATGGTTGGTGCTGACACCGCCTCTAAAAGGAAGCGAGAAGGGAAAGGACGCGACCTGCCCACATCCAGCTGGAAACCTGATTGCCCTGCATGCCACCTCTGTGTCCACCAGCAGGTAGCAGCACAAGCCTATCTGAAAGCCAGGCCAGTCCTGCACCTGCTGGGAGGAGGCTGGCAGCGCTTGGCCCACAGACCCGTTTTGCCCATGTTGTGCTTTTTTGTTTTGTTTTAAGATTTATTTTTCTTGGAAAGACAGATCTAGAGAGGAGATATAAAGATCTTCCATCCGCTGGTTCCCTCCCAAAGTGGATGCAATGGCTGGAGCTGAGCTGAGCTGAAGACAGAATCCAGGAGCTTCTTCCAAGTTTCCCACTTGGATGCAGGGTCCTAAGGCTTTGGGCCGTCCTCAATTGCTTTCCCAGGCCACAAGCAGGGAGCTGGATGGCAAGCAGAGCAGAAGGGCCAAGAACTAGCACCCATATAGGATCCCTGTGTGTGCAAGGAGAGGACTTTAGCCACTAGGCTACTGTGCCAGGCCCCACACTGTGTTTCTAAACATCAGTTAGCTGGGATGGATGGCATGGTACAGGGTGAAGCTGCTGCCTGCAGTGCTGTCACCCTCTGCTCGAATCCTGGCAGGAATCTCCAAGGCTCTGCTTAAGCAGTTCCCCACCGATGCTTCTGGGAAAGCAGATGGATGATGGCTGCCATAGCGGGAGATTGGGATGGAGTTCCTGGCTCCTGGCTTTAGCTCGATTCAGCTGTGGCTGTTGCCCCCACTCGGGGGCAGTGAACCAGTGGAGGGAAGAATCTGTTTTTCCTTCTTTATGTCTTTCTCCATCTTTCAAGTAAAGAAATCTTTAAAAACCTGGATTTCAGACTTTTATTTTTAAAAAAGATTTGGAAATTTGAAAGTCATAGCCATACACAGACAGAATCTTTCTTTTTAACTTTTTTTAAAAAAGATTTATTTATTTATTAAAAAAATCAGATATACAGAGAGGAGGACAGAGAGGAAAATCTTCCGTCCGATGATTCACTCCCCAAGTGAGCGCAATGGCCAATGCTATGCCGAGCCGAAGTCAGGAGCCAGGAACTTCTTCTGGGTATCCCACACGGGTGCAGGGTCTCAAGGCTTTTTGGGCCATGCTCGACTGCTTTCCCAGGCCACAAGCAGGGAGCTGGATGGGAAGTGGAGCTGCCGGGACCAGAACCAGCGCCCATATGGGATCCCGGCGCGTTGAAGGCAAGGACTTTTAGTCGCTAGGCCACCACTCCACTGGGCCCCTGATATGAATTTTTGTGTTGGCTTCCTCTCACGTTAACGCCCTTTCCTTTTTCACCGTCGAGTCTTAGGGCTGGTATTGTGACAGTGGGTTAAGGTGCTGCTTGCAGTGCTGGCCCGTTTAAGTTTCACTTGCTCTGCTAATGTGGCAGGGAAGGCAGCAAAAGATGGCCTGCGTCACTCAGGCTGCTGGTGCTCATGTGGGGGACCTAGATGGAGGATGCTGTGGCTGGCCTTACCCTGCTGCTGCTGCAAACATCTGGAGAGTGAGCCAGTGGGTGGATAGATCTCTCTCGGTTGCTTTGCCTTCCAAGCAAAGTAAAAAACACATGAAAAGGCGGCGCTCTCCTTCCCCGCGGTGCCTGAGCTCTGTGTGCCCATTCCAACCTTCACTTGGTATCTTCCCCTTTTCCCTTTCCTGGTCCAGCCCCTCTGGCTGCCTCCCATGTCTAAACCTCAAGCTGGGTCCCACCAAGGGGACTTCGCACCTGCTGTCCATCCGGAGGCCTCTTCCCCCGGCTTGGTCCTCCTCCTCCTTAGGGTCCTTCCAGCCTACCGACTGCCGCACAGCCCCACCCTGTTCTAGTGTCAGTCCATCCCCTTTGCTTCTTTTCACACACCAGTAGCTGCCCATCTACTTGTGCAGTTCATTTATGTGTGTTCTCTCTCCAGGAGATGGCTCCGCCAGGGCCCCAGGGCTGTCCTGTGCTGTTCCTGCTCCTCTGGGGTCTGGGCCAGAGCCTGGCACACACTGGGCACCGCTGGACACTGGCTGAAGGTCAGGGCTGGCCATCCTTCCACTGTCGTCAAAATCCCACCAGAGAGGCTGCTCCTCACCAAATAGAGTATCCGTACGCCAACACGGGCTCAGGCCAGGGACCGGGGAGAGCTGGGAATGGGCTGAGGTCTCCCCAGCCAGGTGCCCTAACGCCCCGCCTCTTTACCCCAAGCCAATCAAGAAAACACCAGGACACAGCCGAGGTTAAGGAGACACCTGCTGCTTTGTTATAAATATATTATGTACATCCAAAACATGACAGTAAAATATTACTCCGTGTTACAGAAAAGATATTAAGGCTTTCTATTATTTACATTAAACAAGCAAGCACCTTTAAAAAAAAACAAAAAAAAACAAAAAATTTCCCCCAAACTCGCCACTCTTCCTAACACACCTGGTGAGAGAACGCCACCGTCCCCTGGCCATAGGACCGAGATTCGTTGTGGCAGCTGTGCCCTGTGGACACATCATCTTCGAAAACTTGGTTCTGGCTGGAGTCCCAGAAGTCAGGTGGCAGAGGGCAATGGGGGAGGGGAAGAGGGGCTCTCAGACAGGAGACTGTGGCTTCTCCCCACAGGGTCCTCTCTCTGCAGCCTGCCCAGAGTCCTGTCTGTCCCTATGTGGCCAAGCTGTGCTCAGGATGGTGGCTGTCCATCCCCCTACCTCACCCCACCCCGCTTAGGCCTCTGGGGACACACGGGTGTGCTTCGGGGTTCCCTGTACCCCTTGAAGCAGACAGAGTGGAGGATTGGGGTGATCCCAGTGTCAGCCACACTTGCAGGTTGCCTGGCGGACATAGGGCTCCTCCCTTTCTGGCAGAGCCGGGCTTGGCCAACAGTGCAGCTCAAGTGGCTGGGTAGGGGCCAAGGAAAGGAAACGAGAAAGGAAACGAAAATCAGTGGCTCAAGTATTCTGTGTCATGAGGGAGGGGCTGGGAGTGCCCGGGCCAGCCCAGGAGGTGTCTCTCCACCTGGGGGGAGAGGGCAGGGGGCCGGTGGAGGAGGCTGGAGTTTGGCAGATGGCTTCGGTTCAGGGGCTGGGGGAGGTTGGCAGCCGGATGGCAGCTCAGAGAAGTTACTTGATCTTCTGGGCCCATTTCATGTCGTCTGCCCGTGGCTTCTCGCCCGTCAGCGCCTGGATGAGGTCTTCCAGGCGTCGCCAGAAGCGTATCTTCTCTAGGGGGTAGTTGAGCCAGCCTGCGGTGGGGAACAGCACAGGGGGCTGACTCGGTGGGCAGTGGTTCCAGAGGCATCAGGGAAGGACCTGAGCGGGAGGGCATCTTGGAGAGCAACTGACTGAGGCACCTGGGACATGGGGACTCCCGCTAATGGGCTCAGCCCCCCCGCCACGCCTCAGTCACCTGCTTCAGGCCTCTCATCCTCATGGAAGCAGAGCTCAAACATCTCCGCCGGGAAGCCATTCCTGACTGCCCCACTTAGGCAACACCCCAGGTTTGTCACATGCCACCTGCTTCTCCGTCCTTCTATCCTGGGGGATGACCCCAACCCGAGTTTCTAATCCTCTCTTCCTGTTCTGAGTTGGCTTTTCCCACCTGACATGCAGGGGGGGGGGCTCTGCCAACCCTCAGGGCCTGACACAGCACCTGGCACACAACTGCTGCTTAATGTACATCACTCATAACTTCCTTTCATCCTGCCGCAAGCAGACCCTGCGTTCAGCTACATTTCTATGAGAAGGCTGCGGTCTGTAGGCAGCCACGCCAGGATTTGAACTCGGGCCGGCCTGAGAGCCTAAGTGATGCACTAACCCTTCTACCTTGTCCTCCCGGGGGGATGGAGAGGGCTTACTTTAATAATCTGTAAAACCCAGCTTTGGTTTTGCCTCTGGGAAGACTTAAAAACTCAAAACACACAGTACCTGTTGCTTCCTGAGCCCTACTGAGTGCCAAACTCTTTGCACCTGCCACCTTGCCAGGCTGAGCAGGGCCTCATGGCAAGAATGGCCATGGCCATCTCATTCAATGAGTAAGAAAGATGAGACCAGGTGGCCTGGGTTTCATAAGGGAGCAGCTATGGCTGACAGCATCTTGGCGAACCCCAAAAGCAGCCCTTGCACTCACGGTCTATCCTTGGCACCTCCAGCTGGGACCTCTACCTTCCCACCCTCTGAGGACGCTGACATCGCTGGCTAGGAGGCTGCACCTGTGGTGATGCAGAAGTAGGTCTCGTGTGGTGAGACGTGGTGGATACGATGGTGTTTCCGTGGCAGGATGATGTGCCAGTCCTGCAGGAGGGTGACCCAGCGTGGCAGCCCAAGGTGCGTGTGCGACCACTTGTGGATCTGGTTGGTAAAGGTTCCGAAGATGATGAGGCAGAAGACGAAGCACTCCCAGGGGTACAGCTGCTCCAGGGCCTCTGCGGGGCAGTGGAGGGGGTGCCCGGGGGCCCCCAAGGCTGTTACACAGGGTGGGGACCCCCCCACCCAGCCCTGCATAGCTGCTGGGACAGGATAGCACTCAGGCTACCATCTGCTCCCCCCAGCCTTGGTCTTCCCTTTCTTTGAGTGGGCAAATCATGCAGGAGGTCTACACAGAAAACATGGGCTCTGGGGGCTGCCAGTGTTGGCTTCCATCTTTGCTCTGACATTCCTTGGCATCTTAACTTCTTCCTCAGGAAATTGGGAGTCAAGGCTTTTTGCCCAGGTACCCCAAAACTGAGGATCATGACAAGTTGCTGTGCAGGCAATCTATCAAGAGTCTCTCCAGGACAGAGCTGGGAAGGGCTGCACAAAGCTGCAGCAGGGTGCCACGGGTACCCGTGCTTGATCCTGTGGCAGCCCTGGGGACAGTCATGGATCCAAGCCGGGGGGAAGGGAGAAGCTTTAATCACTGGCTGAGCCCCAGAGAGAGGTAAGACCTTCCTTGGCAGCCCCCAACAGACAGCAGCCAGGACATGAGTCAGCCCAGTGAAGGGGGATAGGCTGGGTGCCTCTGCCCCTGCCACTCTACCAATGCTGATGACCTCCATCATAGGGAGGCCGCTCTATGGGAAAGCAACAGGTCACGCTGCTAGGACAAGACCTGGTCCCAGCTGACCTTCCCCTGAAGTGCGAGTGAGCTAGGGCTTAGCATAAAGTGACTGCTGGGGCTGCAGAAGGACAAGTCCCTTTCCAGACATACAAGGGCAAGGCTCACAGCTTTGTTCACAGCCTGCCTTGCTTCCCACTGGGCCAAGGTGGCAAGACCAGAGGCACTCAGGGAGCTGGGCAGAATGTAGCAGGGATTAATAGGGACTGAGAAATAGAAAACACATGTTCTGTCCAAAAGGGTGGTTGACACTGAAGCCTGGCATTTCTCTCTCTCTCTCTTTTACACACACACACACACACACACCCCATCTCTGTCCTCAGTGGCCCCTTCCAGGCTGCCACCAGCAGGTGCCTCACCGAAGCTCTGGGTGCGGAACTTGTAGGCCATGTTTAGTAGGGGCAGCAGCGTCACCAGGCAGTTGTCCCCATTGGTCTCGATGAAGTCATGTCGTGTGATGGCTGTTGGGTCGATGTGGTGCTCCCGGAATGGCCGGATGAAAGCCTGGTAGGGGAGTGGGGCAGGGTGTGGAGCGGTTGAGAAACAGGCAGGGGAACCACGTTGGGCCAGGGGGGTGAGCCAGGAGACTGTGGCTGTCACTAGGGAAAGGACCGCTACAGTCTGTCCCGGGAGCTGAGAGCAGAGGTGTCCACCTTGGCCACCTCCGCCGGAGGGAAGCAGAGAGGGAGATGGAGACAGCTAGAGCCTGTGGCCCCTTGGACTGGTCACACTTAAATCTGGCCCTGCCCTAGAAATTTCCAGTTACCTCCTTGTCTGGTCAGTTTGGGTTAGTTTCTCTGCATCCAAGGAATTTGGATACAAAATAAAATCCAACTAAAATCAACAGCGAGAACCAGGGGCGAGGGAGGGTGGCTGAGGAAGGAAGGACAGGCTTGGGAGTACATGAGTTCCCATGTCCCAGACAGGACAGCCAAGGCTTGGAAGCAAAAGCACAGAGCCAGGCTCACCAGCCAGAAATACATACCTTCCCTACAATGGGCAGCTCCACAGAGCCCCACGTGTCGGCACCCCAGTGCACCATACCGGACAGGAAGTCAGCGATGAGCGCTCCTGCGACTGTGGACAAGGAGAGGATGAGCCAGATGGGCAGGTTGGTGGCAAGAGTGAGGCACACTTCTGCCTGGGTCCCCCCCAACCTCTGTTCATTAATTGCTTGTTGACTGCTGGTTCACTCATTTGTTAGGGCAAAGGTGTCCCTTCTGTATTTGGGACACTTTTATTCCCATGAAAGGAACCTCTGGCCTGATGCTATTAGCCCCAGTGTGGCCCATGGGAAAGGCCAGATGTCATGTTCTTGGAGAGTTTGGAGAATAAATTGAGCATGCTCAGATGAGGACAGCCCTTCGTATCAGTCAGGAGCTGGCTGTCCCAGGTAGCCCATATGGTGATGCCCACTTTGTTCCAGCACTGCCTGTGGCCTAAGAAACATATCTGTGGGTCTGGAGTCAGAAGAACTTAGTGCCTACAGAGAGACACACCTTCCCCTTCCTCCAGTTTTTTAAAAGTTGAGACACAGGGCTAGGCATGGTAACCTAGTGGCTAAGATCCTCACGTTACATGTGCTGGGATCTCATATGGGAACTGGTTCTAGTCCCGGGAGCCCCGCTTCCTATTCAACTCCTTGTTTGTGGCCTGGGAAGGAAGTAGACGATCGCCCAAAGCCTTGGGACCCTGCACCCACGTGGGAGACCAGGAGGAAGCTCTAGGCTCCTGGCTTCAGATCAGCTCAGCACCAATCATTGCGGCTACTTGGGGAGTGAATCAGCAGGCCAAAGATCTTTGTCTCTCCTTCTCTCTACATATTTGACTTTCCAATAAAAATAAAATAAATCTTTACAAAAAAAGTTGAGATTCAGAGAAACACACACACACCTGCCTCCTCAAATGCCTGTGAATGACGGTTATGGTGCTAGATGTAAGCCAGGGATTCCCTGCACATCTCCCATGCGGATAGCAGCAGCCCACCTGCCTGGCCAACACAGCTGCTTCCCAGAGTCCGCATCAGTAGGAAGCTCGAGTTGGAGTGGGAGTGGAGCCCAGGCACTGCAGGATGGGGTACCTGCAGCTTAGCCACTAGGCCAAAGCAGTTCACCATCAGGTACAAGTTTGTGGCATGTTTACTTCCACTTTAGAGATGTGGAAACACGTTTGGAGAGCAGAAGGAACTGTGGCAAGGTCAAATGCCAGGGCACTGGCAAGCCAGCTCTTCACCAAGCCTGACATGGTACTCTGGGGACATAGGTGGAAACTGAGTCAGGTGGCCAGTATCCTGCCTAAGGTAACATGCAGTGCCATCTTCCCTTCCCCCTGTACTTGTCACAGCACAGTACCTCCCCTTGCACACCCTTCCTTGCCTCTGTGCCTTTGCACCTGCCGTTTCCACTGCCTGGAACATTCTTTCCCAAGATGCATCAGTTCACTCCCTCAGGTCTACTCAGACATCCTCCCTGGACATCCCATTCAGCATCTTCCAGCATGCCCTGTCTCCCACTGACCTGGCATCACCTGTGACATCCTTTCTCCTTGTTCACTGGTCCCCCTGGCACTGTGGAGTGCCAGCCCCTTGAGGGCTGGAGCCTATGGCTCCATCTCAGGTCCTGAAGTGAGGCAGTAGCTCAACAAAGCATGGAGTGCAATGCCCTCGAGGGCTGCTGCTATGCAGTCACAGAATCAGACAACACCCCGTGCTGAGGACCTACTGTGTACTAAGCCTTGGCGCCCAATAGGCACTGGGAGATGGCACTCATTGCTGGACCATGTGTCTCAGGCCAGTCTCCCTGCTGACCCACGAATGAGGTACCCAGGGCCTCTAAGCTCCCTGGTGACAGGGACTAGGGCCTGGGAGACAAAAATGGGCTGCTTTTCTGCAGACCCTGAAAAATGAAGCTGGGACCCAGGGGACGGCAGTGTGGCATTACCAGACTCCCTCTTCTGCAGCCCGGGGCGAGGAGAACCTGAGACCTTGGTGTAGGCACCACAGGGAATGCTGAGCACGGGAGGATTGGGGGCTGGGAAGAAGTTGGGATCCAGCAAATTCCTGGTAATCAGGGTGGGCGTGTGGCATGCAGAGGCTGGAGGAGCTGGGCTGGGGCTGGCCAGAGCTGGTATGTCCAGGCCCCAGCCAGGGTGAGGTAGGCAGGGTTTAGAAGACAAAGAAGGACTCTGAGTCCACTGCTCCTCCCCGACCCCTCCTTCAGTGCTCCGGGCAGTCACAGAACTTGCCCGTGGCAGCCTGGGACGCGAAGAGGCAGGTGGCTCTACCTCCCACACTAGCAGCTGTTCCCGCCTCTCAATTCCATCCATCACCACTGCCACCTGTGTATTTGGGTTTTACTGTGGATAAATCCCTAGAGACAGGTACAAAGGCAGACAATCAACCCACTTCTGCAACCCAGACCTGGCTGTTCCTATGAGCTTGGTAAACACACAGGAGACAGTTTTCTAGTTTAGACAGAGCAGGTCCTAGAGCCCTAAAGACTGCAGGGAATACAGGAGAGAAATACAGCAGAGAAATGCCAGCTCTGTCAGTTTAGTGTCCCGATTTTTATGCAGCCATGACTCATCAAGATGGCCTGCCTTTCTGAACGGCTCGATCCCGAGGGCAGGATGCCTGGGGCTGAGGGGGCTGGCACAGCCCATGGGTTGGTCGTGTGGGTGGAAGTGGAGGCACCAGAGTGGACAGGGATTCTAGAGAGGGGATCTGAGGGTTCATCTCTCCCCAAAACGATGGGTGATTTTTTTTTTTTTTAATTTTCCTGAAGTAGACAGAATCGGAGCTCCCATCTGTGGGCTCACTCCCACTGGAATAGCTGGGACTGGGTGGGGGCTGGGAACTCAAGCACAGTCTCCCAGGAGTCCAGGTCGCTGACTCATCATCTGCTGCCTCCAAGGTTGCTGGAGGTGGGACATGAACTCTGGATCTGGGGTACTGGAGGGGGGCATCTTAGATGGGTTATCTACCAATAGACCAACACTTGCCCCTTAGAGGTGAATCAGACCTCCATGTCTATATATATATGTTTGAAAGCCAGAGTGATAGGGAGGGAGAGAGGGAGAGAGAGAGAGAGAAACAGATGCTTCATTTGTGATTTACTCCTTAAATATCATAATGGCCAGGGCTGAGCCAGGCTGAGGCCAGGAGGCTGGGACTCCATCTGGGTTTACCACAGGACTGGCAGGAGCATACTTGAGCCATCCATCCTTCCTGCCTTCCTAGGCGCACTGGCAGGGAGCTGGATGGGAAGCGCAGCAGCCTGGACTTGAATAGGTGCTCCAATATGAGATGTCAGTCTTGTAAGTAGTGGCTTAGGCAGTGGGCCACCACTCTGACCCCTGGGAAGTTAAGTCTTGACTCCAAACTTTACAAGAACTTACAAGATACTGATTAGCAGTGGCAGGAATCATAAGATGTTCCCTAAATTAAAAAAAAATATTTATTGACTTTAAATAAATTTCCTCTGGTAAAAAAAAACAAAACCAGAAGAACCTACACACTGACACTGTTCATAAACAATCCAAAAACCAAGGGCTGGCATTACGGTACACCAAATTAAGCTGTTTGTGAAGCTAGCATTCCATAATGGAATATTGGTTCTACTACTGGCCTGACTTCCTCAGATGATGGTCCAAGTACTAGGGACCCTGCTGGGAGATTCTGATGGGAGTTGCAGGCTCCGAGCTTCCACCTGGCCCAACCCCGGCTATTGTGTGCGTTTGGGAAGTGAGCAGGCAGATGGAGGACTGCTATCATTCTTTTAAATAAATAAATCTTGAAAAAGAAACAGATTCTATACCCCTGTACAGGCTTAGCAGACTTCCTTCTAAGTCTGTGCGGGGGGTGTTGGCCAACACAGAAAGTGTGTCCACAAAGTGGGCAGCAGCCTTCCCGCAGGCTCAGACCCTAGCGTGCTGATCTGTGACAGCAGATATTTCCAGCCCCCAATCAGGTTCTCGGGGCTTCTCGACTCTTGTCCCTCCTCTCCCTTGCCTCCCTGGAACTGTTTCAAGCAAACCCAGAACTGCTTCTACAATGGTATGGCGTGATCTTGCCTGTTCTAGAACTTTACATAAATGGGCTCCTAAGGGATGTGCTATTATGGGTCGGTCTTCCCTCTGCAGTGCAAGGCTTCCATGGTCCCACAGGGAGGGGTGGCCCACTGTGGCTCACCGTGTTGCCTGCTGAGTCGCATCCCCCCATGTGCATGCAGTTGGACGTATGTCTAGGCTAGGCAGTCTGAGTGCAGGTGCAGTATGGGGCCCAGTGCAGGCCTGCATGTAACTGTCCGATATCCGTCCTCATGTCCTCTGGGTGAAGCTGTCAGGGGCTCTGCTATACCTGACAGTAATTGAGTGCTCGTAGGCCCTAGGCCTGTACCAGCCTCTTAAGTGCTTTATCTCCTTAATCCCTAAGCTTTACCAAGGCCAGGCCTAGGTGCTTCCACATCTTTATCTTCATAATCATCCTGAACATTTAATCCCCACAGGTGAGGATGAAAAAAAACAGCCCTGGGAAGGCAGCACTGGTGACAATGGCTAATACTCACGAGCGTGCCTTGCCAGGGATGTTAAAGTATGTCCTTGCAGGTAGTCAACTCCCCATTCTTCTATTTTTTAATATTTTAAAAGGATTTATTTATTTTATTGGAAAGGCAGATTTACAGAGAGAAGGAGAGACAGAAAGATCCTCCATCCTCTGGTTCACTTCAAGTAGCCACAATGGTCGGAGCTAAGCTGATCAGAAACCAGGAGCCAGAAACCTCACCTGGGTCTCCCACGTGGGTTCAGGGTTCCAAGTCCCTGGACCATCCTCCACTGCTCTCCCAGGCCACAATCAGGGAGCTGGGTGGTATGCAGAGTAGCCAGGACATGAACTGGTGCCCATGTGGGATCCTGGGACTTGCAGGGGGGAGGATAAGCCAATTGAGCTAACAGGTGACACCCGTACTCCCCCAACTCCCCGTTCTTTATATGTGAGCTTTCTGTAGGAGCCTTCCTTCCAGAGAAAGCATAATATGTCTGGGGGAAGGAAAGAACCATTCAGTGGAGATGCTTGCCGGATACTACTCTGGCCAAATCCCAAAACAGCAGCAGCCTACACAATATGTGCTCAGAACTCTGAACTATCAAGGTTACCAAAACAGGAGCCTGAGAATCTGCCATTGGTGACGGGAACCTAAAAGGACATGGCCATAAAATGTAATGTGTCCCTGCACTGGGCAGCATTGTGGCCTGACAGGTTAAGCCAGTACCTGCAGTGCAGGCATCTGAGGATAGATTCATGCACCTGGGGAAGCAGCAGAAGATGGTCCAAGTACTTGGACCCCTCCAGCCATGAGAAAGAGCCAGATGAAGTACAGGACTCCTGGCTTTGGCCTGGCCCAGCCCTGGACACTGTGCTCATTTGGGAAGTGAGCCAGCAGATACACAATCTCCCTGTCCCTGTCTCTGTAACTTAGCCTTTCAAATATATCAGTGAATCTTAACAAAACACATACTGCATCTTGGAAGAGATCCCGGAACAGAGGACACTTTGGGTAAAACCGGAGAAAATCCAGGAAGCAGGGGAATTTGAGTTCCTAAGGATGTACTTGTGCTGGTTCACACTGTTACACACAGAGGATGCGCCACGTGAACTACGGAGGAAATCGGGGGCAGGATGCCCATGTGAACTCTGTTCCAGCGCTGTTTTTTTTTTCCTGCAAATCTGAAACTGTTCTAAAAATAAAGTCTACGCGCAAAAAAACACTGCAGCCTCTCCCTTCATGTCCACAGGGGCAGGTGGGCACAGGGCCCAAGCTTCCAGAAAGCTCCGAGGGGAAGGACACCTCAAGGTCACGGAGTACAGGAGTAGGGCTGGGGTCCTCCCTGGGGATGAGCTTGTTGTCATGGAGCAGGACAGCCCAGTAGCCCTCTGTGCACTGCGCACACGGCTCTTGGGAGCAGCTCGAGTACCGCCCCCCTCCAGCCTCAGTACCCGTGCTTCCCAGCCCATGGGGCGGGGTGGACAGGTGCTTCAGACAGGAAGCCACAGTGGATGTGGAGGGAGGAGTCCCCTTCACTGGCCACGCTGAGCATGGGCAGTAGACTAACTGCCCAGGCTCTGGCCTGGGGGCAGGGCAGCAGAAAGAGCCACACAGAAGCCCTTTGTCTCAGCTTCAGTGGCAGCGGCGCGTAGCCGATGTAGCCTAGAGGCGGCTTCGGTCTGCTCATCTCTTAGTCCTGTGGACACTTGCACAGGGGACCAGTCTCTCTGGGCTCCCTAGACTCACTGGTGACTTGAGATAGTTCCTGGGACCCTAGGGGGTTGTGTGTGTGTGTGTGTGGGCACGGGTGATTCTTGGTCCTTCCCTTCCTCCAGAGCAGCTGAGACCCCAAGGCGGACACTGGGGAGGGGAGCCCAGGGCTTTGCTCATAGCTCTTGGGTCCAGACTCGGTCTACTGCCTTTCGGCTAAGTCCTGGCTTGCAGCTGGCCATGACTGAGGTTGGCTGTGATGCGTCAGAAAGCCATGCCCTCTGCCCAGAAGGTCCCCACCCCCTCCTGACTCAGCAGCTGGCAGCTCTGGATACCAACCATCATCCATTCATTTGCCCACTGCGTCATGACACCATCGTGCTTACAGTGGCTACTGCTGAGCTTAATATGACCAATCCTGTGTCCCGCAGGCCTCTGTCCTACAGGTATGCTGGGCTGTTCTTCCTGGGACATCCAGTCTCCTGGGAGCCCCTCCCCAGCCCCCCTTCCTACTCCCTGGAAGCACCAGCCCAATCTTGCCTGCTGGCTTTCTGGCTAGACCCCAGCCACGCTACTGCAGGCACTTGGCTGGGGGTTCGGGGGCTGCTGCCAGTGCCTGGGCTTTGAATGCCAGTCCTGCACCTGGCAGCCTCTGGGGTAGCTCCCTGGTTCTGCTGCCCACCAGGCCCACGTCATGGTGCCCTCAACTCCTTCTTCCCTCACTTCCACAGTCAGCCTGGCAATCTCACATCCTGGCAGCTCTACTGGCACAACTCCCCTCCTGTGCCCGACTACTGCTTGAGGCTGCCATCTTCCCTCGCCTGTGCTGTGGCAGTTACCACCTCATCCCTGGCCTTCCCCACCTACAGCCACCTAGCCTCCCAGTAACACGAAACAATGTCTGCTCTGCAGCAAACTCCCCCAAGGCTTCTTGGGGCTGTGTGAAATCAAAATGGAGTCCAGACCACAGCCCCAAGGCCCTGCACCATCTGGACCCCACGGCTTATTTTCTTTCTGGCCATTCGCTCCAGCTAGTTGGTGACCGTCCCACTCCCTGACACCCAGGTCTGCAGCAGCCCTGAGGTCATTGCACTGGCAGTCTGTTCCTCCCCGCCAAGATGTCTGCAAGGCCCTCTCCTTCACCTCTTCCGTCTCCATGCCGATGTCACGGTTCTTGCCTTATCTACATGTGGCTCCCAACACTGGGTCGTGCGCCTGGGCTTATGAACTGGCTTCTGCCCTCCCTGGTTTCCCAGGCCTGCCCAGGGCACCAGAAGTTCTCAGGAGATAGTGACAGGTAGGGGCAGGCTCAGCAGGCTGGCACGGTGCCCTCACCTCCTGCATGTTCATACACAAATCAGGGCGGTGATTTGGATTGATTGGGGCCTATGCAAACACAACTATCAGGGGACTGTGTCTCTTATCAGCCCGGAGGCAGAGGTGTGATGGGGAAGCGGGCGCTGCACATGGAGACTCCAAGATGGCAAACTCCCTGGCCAGGGAGTGGGATGCCCGGGCCACAGGCAGGGAATTGAGGTGGGCACCTAGGGGACTGGCGTGGACGCCCCTAGGCTCTGGGCACTGCAGACACTGCATCACTACCCCTGGAGGAGATGCTGTCTGACGGAGAAAGAAAACTGATTGAGAGGACGCTTGGAAGCCTTGCCAGTGCAGACCTATAGCCAGCTGCAGGAATGTTCTGGGAGCAGATGATATGGAAACGCACAGGCCAGAAACTCCTTAATCCTCAGGTTCAGAAAACAGATCAAAGAGAGGTGCTTCTTGCAGGCAGGGGAACTCCCATGTCCTCAAGTCCAGATAACAGATCAAGGAAAGGTTCTTGCTAGTGGAACAAATTGTGTACTAGTAAACCCCCTCTTGCTGTTAATATGTAACTCAATTACTGCCTCAAACCCTCCTTCCTCTTACCTATATGACTCTCAGTCTTTAAGTCTGATGCTGTTAATAAACCTTGGCTACTGGCCATCAGTCAGTAGTTCATGTGTGTGATCATCAGCTCTGTGTCCATTGCTGCTGGTCAGCGGACAGTCCAAGGCTTGGATGGGTCAGGATTTGTGATCCAAGTCTCGGCCATTGCCCAGGTAAGGGCCCATAGGCAGGCAGGTGCCAGGGCCTCCCGGGGGAATGCAACCCTGGCCTCCTTACCAGGCCATTGCACAAAGCATGACGCCTATGGCAGGGTCTGGGACCTGGGAGATGCATGCTGTTAAAGTGGTCAGTGTGGCCAAGCACAAGCTGTGGTGGGTAACCAGGGTCACTCAACTCCCTTCCAATGTCCTCTGAGCCTTTTCATCTTTTCAGTACTTAAGCATGCCCTCATTTTGTTTGCATCATAGCTGTGGGAGGCAGGGCACATGCCCAAGGCCGCAGAGCCAGGAGGTGGTGCAGCGAGGAGATAAGGGTGTATGTGTGTGTGTGTGTACATGAACACATGTAAGTCCCTGCCCTCCCTGGGGGAGAGGGGAGGTGCCTAGACTTCCCAGAACTGGAAGGGTTAACTACATTCCCTTCCAGCTGGTCCAGCCCAGATGGCTCCATTAGGAGCCTGTGCACTATTGGCTTAGGTGAACAGAATGCTTTTAATGAGCTTGTAGGAGCTGAACCCTTAGGGAGGGCCGGGCAGGACCAAGAGAATAGCCGACTCTCAGCCTGAGAGCCGAGCACTGCAACAGTCCAAGGACCGGAAGGAGACAGAGAAGGAAGAAGCAGACAGCCAGAAGGAAACTGAGGCACTCTGGGGTCTGGAAGTAGCGCAGTGCCCTCAACAGCAGGGCTGCTGGGGGAGGCGTGGCTTAGGCCTGTCCCTCCTTGACTGGCACCGTGGTTTCCCTTCTGGAGAGTGGTGACAGCCTTTGCACCCAGCTGCCAAGGTGTGGGCAGGCGAGGATTGACAGGTGGGAACCCCTGCAGGTACTCATCAAGTTCAGCTCATGCCTTCACTGATTAGGCAGTCAAGTACCTGCTGGGTGCTAGGCCTGGTTCTCAGGGCTTGGACTTAGCAGGGAATGAAACGGATGAACCTTTCTGCCCTCGAGGAACTGGCATTTGAGTGTGGGGGAGGGCTGGTGACAGGGAATAAAAACCTGTGCGGCAAGGCTGGGGCAGGAAGGAGGAGTCTGCTCTTTTGGGAGGACACAATTAGGGATGGCCTCTTTGAGGTGACCTCTGAGGGAGTGAGTGGCCATGTTGGCATCTGCAGGAAAAGTTCTAGGAGCAGGCAACTCACTGCCAAGGCCACTATCAGATGGGAATTGCGTGAGTGGGCACAAGAGGAGGAGATGTGAGGGAACAGAAACTGCAGGGCTGCCCTGGGCTTCTCCCATGGGGAGGATGTGCTCTGACCGAGGTTCCTGCAGGACACCTATGGTCACTGCGAAAACTGGATGGTGGCAGGCAGAGGTGGAGACAGGGAGGCCCCCAGGGACCATCCCAGGAAGGACATGGGGCTAACCGGGGCAGGTGGGAACAGTGGTTAGATTCTAGGTGCAGACTGGAAAGCAGAGTCAAGACCATTTGCTAGGGGTGTGCATGTGGAGCATCAGAGAGGCAGTGACGGTGTCACATGGGGGGTGGGCTTAGGTGACAGTACGCATCATGTGCCACTGAGACTGGGAGGTGGTGCTGCCAATATGTACCTGACCCCCCCCCATGCGCGCATGTACACGCCATCAACACCAGAAAGCCAGGCGAGGGGCGGCACAATGGGCACTCACCGACACCCAGGATGACGAGGGGTGTGTGCTCCCAGCGGGCCAGCAGCAGCAGGTACAGCAGGTTGTGGGCAATGAGGCTGAAGCACAGGACTACGCAGCACCACTCCTGGAAGCGCTTGCCTGTGGGAGCCAGGGAGGTGCGAGGTGAGTATGGGCAGGCACGGGCAGCATCCCCCTTCCCCAGGGACCCTGCAACCAACCACAGGCTGAGCCTGCAGACTCCCCAGTGCACAGACAATGACACTGAGGCCAGGGGAAGGGCCTGCCCACAGTACACATTCAGGGCCGGATATGTTATGCCAGGCACAGGGTCCTCTTGAGAGCAGGCCCAGTGCGGTCAATTCTCCCCACACTGCTGGCTCTGGGAATGCCAATCCACTGGCAGACAGGACCAGAAGTAGGGACTCCTGGGCCTCTCTGGGCTCTCTGCAGATAGCAGAAGGCACCTGCATAAGCAAGTATCTGGCTTAGAATCTTGGGGACACCTCCTCTACCTTTCTTCAATCAGGAGGCTCAGACCCTGCCTGAGCCGCATCGTTCAGAACTCCAGGCAACGAGTTGGAAATTCCTGGAGAAACAGGGACCTGGGAACAGTGAGCATCTTCTTCTTTTTTTTTTTAAGATTTATTTATTTTTGTTGAAAAGGCAGATTTACAGAGAGAAGCAAGTGGCCACAACAGTCAAAGCTGAGCCAATGAGAAGCTAGGACCCAGGAACTTCTTCCGGGTCTCCCATGTGGGATTCCAAGGCTGTGGGCCGTCCTCGACCACTCTCCCAGGCCGCAAGCAGGGAGCTGGATGGGAAGTGGAGCAGCTGAGACATGAACCAGTGCCCATATTCAATCCCAGTGCTTGCAAGGAGAGGATAAGCCAATTGAGCCCTCATGCCAGGCCCTGCAAAGAGCTTCTGAGGCAGGGTGAGCGAATCTTTTTTTTTTGCCAAAGGCAATTCGGAAATTCATGATGTCATTTTGCAGGTCATACAAAATGATCACCTTAAAAATGAGCTGCCTCCAGATGTACTGGATTTTGAATCCCACCTGGGGTTGCCTTGGCAGGTCAGATCAAAACAATTTACTGGCCCCTACATCGCCTGTTTCTGCACTGGGACCTAAGTTCGAGCAATCTTTATTTGAGCTAAAAGCTTTGGGAATAACCTAAGTGTCCATTGCTTTGGAGTCAACCAAATTAACTCAGTCTACAGCCCCTCTGCAGCCAGGAGAAGGACTGGATAGCTGGTTCCATCTGGACATGTCAAGACACTGTGGCAGCTGCCCAACAGCAGCCATCTACATCAACAAACAAAACCCTCCTCACCCACTCCCGTGTGGATGCACTACCTATGAAAGTCAGTTACACATTCGATACAAATAGGAGGATAACAAGAAGAGCAGGTGAGGACACAGAATGCATGTGACAGAAGGTGTGACAGGGCTGCTTGGGAATTGCCAGATTGCCAGGCAGCTGGGCCTGAGGTGTGAACAATCCCTGAGGGCCTGGTCAGTGCTGAACAGTCCCATTTGCCAAGCCTGTTTAGGGACAGCTATTCAGATGATAAAACTGAGCGTTAGGATGGTCAACAAACAGCCCAAGGCCACCAGCTGGGCAGCTTCAAGCCAGCATCCTGTAACCCAGATGTATGGCTCTCCCAATGTCATCCTGTTTGGGATCCATCCCAACGTCATGCTGGGTCAGAAGCCCAAACCCACTTTCAACCTGAGGTCACCTGCGGCTACCCGGCCTCCTCTGCACCTGGTTGACCTGACGCTGCTCCCCCCACTCACCCTCCGGAAGCCAGTCAAGACAGCACCTCCAACCTGTGCTCCCCAACATGGGCTGGGCCTGGGGCGCAGACTGTGTGATGCTTGCCCTGCCCCAACTTGAACGGAAACCCAGGGGGCCTAGAACCGGGTCTGGCTCCCCATCAGGGCCTCAGCATCCAGCTGATGCTCTATAAATGCTCAAGAAATAAGGAATGCTCTCACCAGAATCCTCGACGGAAGGCACAAGGCCACATTTCTGGGAGTCCCTTCCTCCCCCACACACCTTGGGAAAGAAGCAAGAGGCTCCCCGTTTGCTGGGGAAACTGAGGCTCAGGCAGGAAGAAGACCTGGACCAGGCTGCACAGTAGCACACTGCTGCTTCTAACCTCCCCTGAACCAGAAGAAACTCCTGTGCAAAGAGCAAGGTTTAGGGGGAAGGGACACCCAGAGGCCTTGGGAGAGGACATTGAGGCCCAGAAAGGGCAGGGAGCTCCCAGCAGGACACACAGCACAGAGGCTGGCTAGAGCTCCACCTCAAATCTGCTCTTCTGCCAGAGTGATGGCCATGAGGCACTTGGTCCTCCTGCCTCGGCTGCCCCTTCTCCCACCAGGACCCTCTCCCTCTGGTTCCTGTGTGGCCAGAGGAGGGGTCTAGAAGCTGGGAGCTCCAGGCGTGGGGGCAGGAGCAGCAGGTAGGAGCGCAGGGGGAGGTAGCTGGAAGAATGTGAGGGGGAGGCCTCCCTTTCAACCGCGCACCTGTCCCCAGCCTGCGTGGAGAGTGAGGGCAGAGCCCAGAGCAGCAGGATCAGATAAGATAATACACCTCCCCACTGTTGCTACCCACCGCCCACGCCACCAGTGTTGGGCTCCCAGGGAATGGGTGGGGTGGGGGTGGCCCACAGGGCAGGCTGCACTCTGAGAGTACGCTCTGCTCTCAGCTATTGCAAAAGGACCCGGATTTTAAAATCCCATCGAGTTCCTAGCATCCTGCTTCCCTGAGAACACAGGGCTCTGGGCAGCCCAGACTAGAGCAGCAGGGGCTGTCCCGACTGCTGGGCAAGGGCTCTGGGTCCCCTGTGGGCCTGTCCTCTTCCTGGGACCTCCTGTTGGCACCTTGGCTGGAAGATGGCCCTGGTCTGGCCCTGGCAGGCTCCTAACATCTCAGAACTCAGGTCCCAATCTGCTTGAGCAGGGTATCGTAGAATCCCACTGCTCAGATGAGGAGATCAACGCACATGCTGGGCCAGTGACCTGCAGAGCCCTGTTCCCACGCTGAATACCCACGCCTGGCCAGCTGACTTCCATGGTGAAGGCCATTATGTGGAACCTAGAACACCTCCCACCTGTGTTCCAGTTCCGGCCCTGCCGTGGCTGCCTCCTACGTGACTCTGGACAGGTCACTTGGCACTCATGAGTTGTCTCTGGAGTAGGGGTGGCAGACGGGCCAGGCACTGTTGGCAGGTCCAACGGATTCAGCCCCTGCTTGTGTCACGGACCTGGCCCAACCCCAAACAGCACAGCTTTGGGACGTGTGCATTTGTCACCTATGCAGGTGGGTTATATGTGTGTGCAATTTGCATGTATCACACACGTGACATCTATACACGTTATATCCTGTTATATGTGTGGATATTACTTGTGTTTGCACATGTACATGGTGTTGTATGTGCATGCGTAGGGATATATTAAGTGTGTATGTGGGATGTTTTGTGCATACACATGTGTGCGTGCTAAGCAGGTTTAGTATTACATGTGTGTATGAGTGTGGCATTGGACCCGTGTGTGTTCCATGCATATGTATGAGTGGTGTTACTTGTGTATGTATGTTATATACACAACCTTTACACATATCATATTTTATGTGTACTTGTGTATGTGTGGATACTATGCATTTGTGTGTGTGTGTGTGGCATTATGTGTGGATGAGTGGCCTGTGTGCAGAAGTATAAATGTGTATCCATATGTATCTGACAGTCTCCCAGCACTCCCACCTCAGGGCCCTGCACGCTCTGCTTCCCTGCTCTGACCTAATGCTTCTGTCAAAGTCCTCATGTCCCCTTTCCCCCTTCAGGTCTCTGTTCCAAGGTCACCCGCCTTCCTTGCCCCAGGCTGCAATGCCCCCTCCCCTTCCCTGTTTTGATCCGCCTCACTGCACCAATTACTGTCAGGCTCCTGAGCCGCTTCCTATCTCCCCACTCAAATGCCAGCTCTGCTTCTCCTGGCTTGGGGGGTAGCACTTGGGTCAGGGACTGGAATGTAGGCTATGGGAGCCTCAGGTGCATTAAGCTGGGTCCCACAGTTTGTAGGCCAGGCCCAGAGGGGTCAGAGAACTTGTTTGTCCAAGACCAAGGGCAAGGAGATGGAGGTCAACAGCAAGGCCCAAGGGGTGGCATTGGGAGAAACCTGTTTGGCCAGTCCTCCCCACCCTTCCCCCAGGCCAGGGGAGATGGGGCCTTGATGGTGGCTTAAGCACTGCCAAGCTGTCTGTCTCTGCAACCTCAGACCCCAAAGGCCAGGGGCACTTGGGGACAAGGGCGTGGGCAGAGTGTGGTCTCTTGAGGAGGTCCAGCATGCCCTAGGAGGATGTAGGCCAGCTGAGAGCAGGTAGGGTTGCCTTCAGTGGGCAGATCTGCCCAAGCAAGGGGGCAGCCCTTGGGCAGGCACTGTGGAGCAGCAAGTGAAGCCACCACTTGGGCCTCTGGCATCCAAAGGACAGGCCACACCATTCCGAATGCCAGTTGAGAGGTGGATCCCTAACTTCTGGTCTAGCCTCCTCAGCAGCCCCAGTGCTCAATGCACCTAGCATGCGGCACATGATTCAAGTGCTTGAGTCATGCTACCCACGTGGGAGACCTGGAGCTCCAGCCTTCAGCCTGGCTCAGCCCTGGCTACTGTGGGCATTCAGGGAGTGAACCAGAAGACAGAGCTGCTTGTCACCCTACCTTTCAAAACAATAAATCTTGTGAAATAAAAGGCTGGGGCGGGGGTGTGGGGAGTGTGCCTTGGATGCCTCTGTTCCCAGGAGGGGAGGGTGATGACTGGCACGTGAGGCAGCTTGCTCTGATCTCACAACTAATGGGATCACAACAGACAGCAAGCACCTCCTGTGTGCTGGGCACTGCACCGAAGTGGATCACGTTGGTCTCTTTGCCTAACTACACTAAGGGGGAATAGGAAGTTGGTTCTGTGTTCACCCTGGAGGTGAGGAAGCCAAGCCGGGCCTGGATCACACAGCTAAGCAGCCACATTGGATGTCTACCCCAGGAGGGCATGGGCTGAGTGGGGAGGGGCAGCCAGCCACTGAGCAGGGAGGGGCCAGAGCAGGCTGAGCCACTTGCAGCCCCCCTATGTCTAGTCTGGCCAGTTTGGATCCAGCAAGAAAATGCCAGAAAAGGGGTCTGCCAGGGACAGCATCACTCTCTGGCCAGCCAGGGCAAGAAGCCAAGGCGGCAGTGGCCCCAGGCCCATGCCAAGAGAGGGGGCTGTGCAAGGGTGACTGCCCAGCAGGAGGAAAGATGTCAGAAGGGTTGACAAACAAAGCTGCTGGATGCACTGGCGACACTCAGACCACCCAGACAGGGGGCCTCTAGGAGCTCTGGGCCACCTGACTCAAGGCATTTCCTTAAACACTGGGGACCCCGAAGTTTCCCGAGGGGACAGGCTGGGAGATTCCTGGGGTTCCCTAGGAGTCAGAGAAGCTGTGAGGTTTGCTGCTTCCTGCAGCACAAATGTTGGGCCAGGGGCTTAGGAGCCAGACAGAACTTTGCTGGGCAGAGTTGGAGCCGATGCCTCCCACCTGGGATCTGGTCTGGGGGAAGGTGGGGGGCTGCACTCCCCAGGTCCTGTGAAAGGCAGTCACTACACCTGTGTGTGTGTGGTGCAGGGTGGGGGGCGGGGGAAAAGGGAGGATGGAGGCCGCGAGGGAGGGATGTCCGTGAGGCTTGGATTGGTGAAGGGTGATGCGCCCCACTGGTGCTTCGGGGAAAAGGGAGGAGACCCGGATCCCTATCCCGGCTGGAGATAACTGGGATGGGGCTTGGGGGGAAGGGCAGCTAGAGAGCTAGGGTGTGGACACCTAAGCCTGGGGTACTAGGGGGTTAAGATTCGGCTTTAAAAAACCCAGGGACAAAGCCTGTAGCTTGAGGGGCTGCCTCGGGCTTGGGCTGGGTCCGAGGGTGGGGGTTTTTTAGTGCCGCTCACTGCAGCCAGAGGCGCCCCGGGGCCCGAATTCCAGAGCTGCGACTGCCACCGGGAGTAGTTCCCTAGCCCTGGGGAGCTGACTCCGTAGTTCCTTCACTGGGAGTGTCTTTGCAGCAGAGAAAGTCGCGGTGCCCGGGGCTGCCTGGAGCTTGGAAGGGCCGCCGGGAAAGGGGCTCCAGACCCCAGCGCGCGAGGTGCAAGTTAGAACCCGGCTTGGACTTCCGCTTCTGGGCCCGGAGTTCCGACCTGAGGGGCTGGGGTTCCGATCAAGGGAACTCAAGTCGTTGTCCACAGCCTGAGCTTCCTGCCTACAAGGCCCGGAGGGAGCCCCGGAGGTCTTACCTGGAGAGTAGAGCGCGGCCAGCTCGCGGGCCCCGGCGTGCTGCGCACCCCAGCGCCTGCAGTACGTCGCTTCGTCCTCGTCCAGCTCCGGCTGCTGGCCCGGCGCGTCCTGGGCGTCCGCCATGGCCACTCGCCGGGCCCGTCCGGTGCGCTCTGCTTGCGGCGGTGGCGGCTTTGGCGGCAGGGCCGCTGAACCGCGGCGAGATCACGCCGCCCAATGACCGGCCAGCGCCGGGCGCGGCGGCGGCGCGGGCGGGGACCTCGCCCGGTCGCGCGTCACAGCCAATCGGGGCTCCCGGCGGAGCGGTGCTGGCCAATCGGTGACCGCCGAGCCGCAGCCAACCGCGGTGCCGGGGGCTGGGCCGCAGCTGGGCGCAGCTGGGCGCGGAAGCGTGGGGAGGCGGCGCAGTCTCGCCTGTCTTTCCCGGTCTGGCTGGTGACTCCGGCCTCGGGTTAGATTCCGAACCCTTGAAAACTCGGGGTACAGCGCTGCCCAACTCGGCCTTGGTGTTCGGCCCCGTCCAGTAGTCCCCCAAAGCCCATAGTCGGGTGTTTCTTCTGCTTGCACTATTAAGTGCCCACTGTGTGCAGGTAATGCGCCAGGAGGGTGTCTGTTGGGCTGCAGCCAGGGATAGGCACTTGGGCACTTTATGCAGTGTTCCCTAGCGGGGCCGCTTGGCCCACCCTACTGTGTGTTGGGCTGTGGGGAGCCAGGGGTACCCTCGTGACGCTGCAGGATGCGTGGACCCCTCCACCCCCGTGCTGGGTGCTAGAGGAGCCGCATGCTCTATGCGCTTAGTAACCAACCCCCTCCGCTCCCGAGAGAGGCCTTGGTGGCCGCCTGCTCCAGGTGCCCCCTCCTGCAGTCACTGTGACATCACCCTGTTGTGCCTTCACACTTGTCGCCCACAGTGAGTCTGTAGCTCCCGGAGAGAGGGGTGGGGTGGGAGACAGGCTCTTGGCTTAATCAGCTGTGGAATCCTCCCCCAGCCTGGGCCTAGGACAGCCTCGGGCGCACAGTGCAAGCTCCAGGTACTCTTCATGGGCCTCTGTACCCCAACGTGTAAATAATAGTGTGGAATCCAGCCGTCTACAAGATACAAGAGAGCAGCTCACCTCAGTTCAATCCAACAGGGGTCACCCTAGCAGTGCCTGGGGACCGGGGAGGGCAGGTGCAGCTCCCCTCCGGAATTTCAGAAGTTCGAAAGTTCCTTCTGGAAAGATGAGGCTCTGGCCTCATTTTCTGAGGATATGATCCCTGAAGGCCCCTGTCCCCAGCCAGGTCCAGGAAGAAAAATCTCCACCTTCTAACTGCAGCCCAGGATGAGGTGCTGGGGAAGCTGGCTAGCCTTGTTTACTTCTTCATGGCACAGGAGCAGGAGGCAGCTGGCCTTGGTGAGCGCTGGCTCTCAGATCTGTGGCCCCAGGTAGTCTGTGTGTGTGTGTGTGTGGAGGGGGGCACTGCCATTGTCCGAATATAGCACCCCCACCCCAGTGGCCCTTGGTGGGTGAATAGACCGGCCATCCCTTCACTCATTTACTGCCTGCTTGTTTATGAAGCTTGCTGGGCCCAGGCACAGACCAACAAGGAGCATGACAGATTCCCTGCTGTGCCAGGGTAGGTGGGGGAAAGCTGAGACGCAGAAGAGCTGCTGTAGATAGAGACCTAAAGCATGGGGAGAGGTGGTTGTGCATGTCTGGGCAGGGATGACTTCCTCCCAGCCTGGAGGGTGGCGATCATATTAGGTCCAAAAGATCTCCTAAGCACGGACAGACAGGTTCCACATGCAACAATGCAAAAGCAAAGAAACTTTATTGCTAGCTCGAGCTAGGGTCCACGTCTCATCCATCGCAGTGGAGTCTTGACAAGGACCCCGCTTGTCTCTAACGAACTGTTTTTATTCCCTCCTAGTCACGTACAACACGCCTCCAGTAAGCAGTCCTTATCTTGGTTCTGGTGTAGGCTTCATTCCACTTGCGGACGTGCGGGTGCCCTTAATTGGCCCATCTCCAAGGTCGTTCCCCCTGTCCACTCCATCACTCTGAGGTGAATCAAACTTTGAAGTGAAGTGAGACTTAGGGCTGCTCCCCAACCTTTGGCCCATCATGGCGTCAGTCCTGTTCTTTATGCAGCAAAGCCATGCAATGATTACAGAAGCCAAATATAGCGGTTATGCTAACAGTTTGAAATTCCCTCATCACTACTGTTATTAAGAGTAAATCCTTGCCACCCAGCCTTGCACCCCCAACTTCACAGCAGTGGTGTCAGGTGCAGAGGTCCTGAGGCAGGGATGCATTCCTCCTGTCCAGGAACTCCCAGCAGGGAGGCCTGTGAGATGAGTGGTGGCCAGTGGAAGGGAGAAGGAATTGAGGTCAGAAAGGAACGGAGAGGGGGCCAGTGGGGCAGGGCTTTGAGGACAAGCAGGGCTGGAGTTTACCCTAAATGCCTGGGAAGTCCCTTCTTTAGAGGATGCCAAGTGGGCGAGTGATGGGATCTGACTCATATTTAAAATAATAATAATAAAAAGATTTCATTTTTAGTTGGTAAAGGATTCTCACACGTTTGAAAATGAAGCTCTTGGTGGGAGTTTCTGCTCCCTGCGTCAGCCCCGGGCACGCCCTCTCTGCCCACCCAAGTAACCCCTGGCAGGCGCCACTGTGTACTTTCAGGGTTCATGTGCAGGTGCAACATGTCCTGTGCTTTTTATACAAGTTACACAAACTGTTCTGCTCCTATCTGGATTTTTAAATAAATAATTTTTATTTATTTAAAAGAATTACAGAGAAAGGGAGGGAGGGAAGCAGAGAGAGAGAGAGAGAGAGATCTTCCATCTGCTGGTTCACTGCCCAGATGCTTACAACAGCCAGGGCTGGGCCAGAACAGAGTCCCGAACTCCACCCAGGTCTCCTCATTTGTGTGGGAGGTACCGAGCACTTGAGCCATCTGACACCTGCTGCCTCCCAGGGCGCATTTTGTTTATCCAGTCGGTTGATGGGCACTCAAATTTTCCCACTTTTTAAAAAGGTGTACTTATTATTATTTGAAAGGCTGAGGACAGAAGAGGAGAGAGGGAGAGAGAGATGGAGTGTGGAAAAGAAGGAGGGGAGGAGAGAGAGAGAAGGAGGGAGGAGAAGAGGAGAGATGATCTTCATTTGTTAATTTTACTCCCCAAATGGCTGGATCAGGCTGAAACCAGGAGCCTGGCACTCCAACCCAGTCTCCCACATGAATGACAGGGGCCTTCGCACTTGAGCCATCATCCACTGCCATTCCCAGGCACACCAGCAGGGAGCTAGATGGGAAGTGCAGCAGTCAGAACTCAGAACCAGCACTCCAGCATGGGATGGCTGTATCGCAAGGGACGGCATGGCCTGCTGTGCCATGACACTAACCTCAGAAGCTTTTGCTTTTGGTGAGGTCTCACTTACCTCCTTTTTCCTTTGGTTGTTTTTGTTCCAGGTCTTTGTCTCCGCCTTCTGTTTTATGAGCATATCATATTCTGTGATGGCTGGGCCGTGATCATTTCATTGCCTGCCTGGGAATGACACTTGGGCAGTTTCCTGTCTTGAGTGTTGTATGCCTGGGTGTGTTTTGCATGCAAAGTTGGAGCAGTAGATTAACCTCTGGAAGTGGGGCTGCTGTGACAAACGTTCAGCGTTTTGTCCTCGTGATAGATGCTGACTTGAATGATAGCTAGGTGGTAACTGCTAGTGGAGTTAGATATTAACTTGTAACCCACCAGCTGCCCTGAAAAGTACTCCTTTCTCATAGCCTTATGGACCAGTATGAGCTGCTGCAACAGTAACAGTGGGGCAAGCATTGGGGAGTTAGGACACTGCTTGGGACGCCCACATGCTGTTTCGGAGGGCCTGGGTTTGTGTTTCAGCCTCACTCCCAATTCCAGCTTCCTGCCAGTGCTCACCTTGGTAGTAGCAGGTATGGCTCCACTGCTTGCAGCGGAATCCTGATGGAGTGCCAGGCTCCTGGTTTGAACTTGGCTCAGTCCCTGTGGTTGTTGGTATTTGGGATTTGAATCAGAGGGTGGGAATTCCCTCTCTCCCTCCCTCTCAAAATATGTAAATATTAAAAGTAAGGAAAAGGACCGGTATTGTGGCCTAGGGGCCAAAGCTGCTACCTGTAACTTTGGCATTGCTTACAGGTGTCGCCATTTCATATCCTGGCTGCTTCTCTTCTGATTCAGCTCCCTGCTAATGGCCAGAGAAAGCAGCAAGAGGTGGCCCAAGTGCTCAGGACTGCCCTCTGCCCAGAGGCCAGTGAGCTGGACAGGGCAGGTACAGGACACTTGTCCTAGCAAGGGAGGAAGGTTCAGTTGAGGAGTTCTTGTCAGAACTTGAATGTTGACCCGGTGTCAATGGCTGCACACGAAGAGTGAGTTCACAGGCCAGAGGGAGGAGGTGACTGTTCAGGTGGGAGCGGGTGTGGGGTGTCATCCTCGGTCACAGGTGAGCTTTCAAGATGAGGAGCTGGGTCCTGTGCTGTGGCCTAGCGGCTAAAGTCCTCGCCTTGAACGTGCCGGGATCCCATATGGGCACTGGTTCTAATCCCAGCAGCCCCGCTTCCCATCCAGCTCCCTGCTTGTGGCCTGGGAAATCAGTTGAGGACAGCCCAAAGCCTTGGGACCCTATACCCATGTGGGAGACCTGGAAGAGCTCCTGGCTCCTGGCTCAGTTTTGGGCATTGTGGCCACTTGGGCGAGGGGTGTGCCAGCCAGCTCTGTCCACCAGGGCTCAGAGCTGGAGCCGCCCTTCTTGCCCTGCCCAGGGGGGGGGCAGTATCCTCACTTCAGTTGCTTCTCCTGGAAAGTTGTTGGGGATGGGTGGGATGGGATGGGCACAGCCGTGGCTTTATGACCTTGGGGTATGGCTGCTTCTGACTCAGACACAGGTAGCTCCCAGGGATTGCGGGTCACAGGCCCGCATGGCTGTTGGTACTGTGGCCCCTGGCTGCCTCCTCTGGCCGGCTCCCTGAGTGAGGGCGAGGCTGTGCTGAGTCACCGCTTCCTGGGAACAGGTGCAAGATGTGGCTCAGTTAAAAGCAGCTGCTGTTTCTCTTTCTCTTTCTCCCCTTCCTTGCTTTTCCATTGTTTGTCATCGTAGTAAGAGACATATCACTAAAGTGTCCCCACTGTTGTTCAGTGAGCAGATGAGGAGCCCCCAGAGGTTTCAGGACCATTCTTTTGGGGGTGAGGTGTGGGTCTTCATCTTCATT